CTCATTATACACTTGTTAACAAGTGCTTCTTCAGTTTTTAAAATCGTCAACAACCGTGGTGACTTTGTCTTGGGAACGGACCGGCTCAAACAGGAATTTGTCCAAGACCTTATACATCACTTCGTCTCTAATCATAGCACGTTTGTGTTTGCGATAATTCCGTCATCTCTACTTTCTGATCTTTAGATATAATGTGCTCTCAGAAAGTGTTAATGGAGCGAGTTTTATAAACTAATGAACTAACAAAGGCGGTGACCACATGTTTCAGTCAAAATATTACCGTATTTACTGCTGTGATTATAATACGATCCGGGAAATCATAATGACTTCGAACAGAAGAACCCAACAACTACGAACGATGCAAATATTGGCACATTTAAAAAAAACAAACTTGACAAGGATAACACAACTCTCGGCGTTAGGAGAAGAAAATTGTTGGCATAAATGAACAATAGGTACAAAAAAACAAACAAAAAAACAACAAATACCAAAGAGAATGTCACATTTTTCAAGTTTGATTAACTAAAAATGCATGAGTGAACAAAAAGAAAACTTTCCTTTTTTTTCTTTCTTGTAAGTTCTCAGAGGAAAAAAAGCATTAATCATTTTTAGGAAATAAGAAAGGATAACTTTATTGGCAATATGTGACACGACGCAGTTATATATGTTTAAGAAACTGCATACTTTTTAATGAGTTTTATAAGGCTGTATGTATAGACGGCAGTAGGCGTTCGTTACTGATGGACATGCTGTGTGAAGAAAGAAAGGAAGGAAGAAAAAAAGGAAGGAAGAAAGAAAGAAAGAAGAGAGGTCTTATGAAGTTGATAATAAAAACATAATTATTTTAAAATAATACTTAAATTTGTATTTGAATCATAGATATGTTTCGTTTGTAACATCCATTTATACTCAAATTCTTCCTAACTGAAAAGATGCATTTATCATTATTCGATTGACTCAAATGATTTAATTATATTCAATCCATAAGCATTTTTTTTTTTTATGATTATTAAAGTGTAGACGAATTTCGGGGCTGATCTGGATCATTTTGGTGATTATTGTCGACAATTAAATAGTCCCTCATATAGTGCAAGTGTTTTTTTTTTGGCGGGGGGGGAGGTTAATGTTATAGCTAAAATATTCTTATTATTTTTAGCTACAACTATAACTGGTGTAACCTAATTTTTTTTCACTCCAACATAAAACTTCCCTCAATCAGCAACATGAACAAAAATAAATAAAAATCATAATCAACCAGTTTCCCCACATAGAATCATGATACACATAGACACGTGATTTATACATACGGGCACTGCAGAACGATTCATCTTTCTAGAAGTTGAATACCATCTTCACGATGTCAAGCCAGACTTCATGTTCCGACCGGAGACTGATCTTTGGCTATTGACTCGGGGCCTACATAGACCACGTCTATTGTATGTCTTTCATTTTCATTGTTTATCGTCCACAGGATAATGGAATTGCAATGCTTGATTAGGATATCATCAAGATTGATGATATCATCTCTCAGCAAGCATTCATATTTGTGACGACTTTAATATTCACCACAAGGAGTGGTTAGTTCATTCAATCCGAATCGATGAATAAGGCAGATACTGTCATGACTTCTCTATCGCTTATGAACTGACCCAAATCATTGATAAGCACACTCGTGTTCCTGACACAACGGAACGTCACGCAATCTTCCTAGACCTCTTTCTCACATTCTGCCCTGAAAAATGCTCGGTTGAAATGCTACCTCCCCTGTGCACTTCTGACTACTCGCTGATCAAAATGTTAAAGTTCATTCCAAGCCAACAGCATCTGATGTACAATTTCATAGGACGAGATCTTTCGATACGCCAAAACCGACTGAGACAGCTTCATATCTTACATTGCAGAAGCTGTCCTTTCAGCTTTCTTCAAAAAGAGAACTGTCAAAATGCAATCCTCATTTAGGAATTGTTCCTCTCGAACATGGATAATAAGGATTGCTGATTTGTGGAACAGACTCAGGGCAGGATTTTTTCCGGTCACTACAATCTTGACCTCTTCAAGTTAAGGGTTAACCGTTATATTGCTTACATAACCTCATGAAATGCACTCCTTGCCTTTTCTTACTCTCTACCTTAGACTTGTATTGGGTAGACATTAGTAAAAAATATTTTTGAACATCACTCTTCATTTGATGGAAAGAAGACGTCAACCTTTGAAAGTTAAACTTCAAACAGCAATATGGAACTTCTATTAAATTTTTGTTATTCTAGAATATTTCCATGGTTTAATCATCCTATCAAACATCGCATTGTCCACATGAAATAACCAAAGAGATTATTGATTTCAGTATCTCAGATTCCTGGCTCAAACAATTCGTGAGTAAAATATCCCTAAGTATAACTTCCAAACTCTTGAAAATGATGATATAAAGAAAGCATTTTGTACTAAATTAGAATCCAAACGAACGTAGCAAAACTATTTGAACCCAATAAAATTCGAAGTATCACATAATGTAATCGCATCTTTTTCTCGCTGAAGTATGTGTGAGCATACATAAATTAAGAAGACAGAAAAAGATCTTTTCCTGGGATGACAATACTGAATAGCAATATAGAATGATATTACTGAATAACAAAAGCAGAAAGAAACAAGCAAAAGAAAAATGAAAGCCAAAACACGTAAATTATGTGTTGAAATATGGTGAAAATCAAACCCTGTGATATTATACAACCAAATCCAAAACAAGAAACGCTCCAGTTTAAAAAAAAAAAAAACAACCACTTTCAACTACATTTTAATCTTGACCATGGCATTCTTAAAATGCTTAATAAAATGTGCCCCAAGGGCCAAAATATATTTGAAAATTGCAAAGTATATCTCAAAAAATAAATAACAATGAACATAGTGACGAGGAAGTCAAGAAAGCGATAAAGATTAGAAACAAATTCTTACTTGACATTGAGGCTGAAGTTTATAAATTAACTTGCTCTCTCATTGAATTCAAATTTCTCAACTTTGAAGGAAGTCTGGAATCAAAAGAATACTCCAAATCAGTGGGATTTCTCATGCACTTTGTAAAAAAACGTAGACCTGAAGATCAAAAATATTCTACGAAAAAACTACAAACAACCCAGTTTGTTTTTCGTTCTAGTAAGAGAAGCAACAATGACGTCAAAATATGTCATCAAATAACTCCATGGAATAGCGTACTTATCGAATAGAAAGTTGTATCCCTGCTATGCTGAGTCAGCAGCATATGATCATATGAATAGAGAATTCCTTTTCTCGTCCATAAGAACCTTTTTTTAATCTGCTTTGATCTGAATGAGGATCTGTATCGCTCAACAAAATCATATCTATATTGTAAAGATGAAATGAAAACGATAAACTTCGTCAGGATTTTGACAAGGAGAAAATGGGAATCCACATCTTTTAAATCAAAAGTCAAAATTACAACTAACATTATCTATGAGTTCAAATGCCCCTTAAGGAACTGTGTTCCTGATCAAACCAAACTCAAAAAAAATAATTACATCGGTCACACAACTACATGTCTATCCAGACGCCTTACGTTACACCTATCTGACCACAGCTCTATTAGAATCCATTTAAACACACATACAAACGTACCAGACTCCATTCGAAACATACTAGTAGAAAACACAAACATAATAACCTCATCCAATTGTAAAAAAAGATTAAAGATAATGGAAGCCCTAATAATAAAAAAGAAAAAGCCAACTCTTAACAATATTAACTACAAACAAGGCCACAATGTGCTAACCGTGTTTGAAAAATAAAAAAAAATCTCTATAACATACTAAAACATACACATAAAGGACACACTCAATTAAACTGAAAAATAAAATCATCCTTGATAATGGTTAAAAGAATAGCCGAAAGCGCTCGGGACTATAGAACATTTGAACAGTTTCTACACACTCTGTGTCCAAAAAAGAAAGCATTTGGTCGAACACAAGAAAAATCAAATAAATAGCTTAACTGTACACACACACACACACACACACACACACACACACACACACATACACACATGTATATACATATTTGAAAGGTGCTGAAAAAATGACCAAATGATTAACCATCGGAATTTATTACCAAATATTGGTCGGTGCAAAAACCTTTCAACGTCAATTTAAAAATAAATATGCTTCAGAAAATAGGTAATTTCACAAAGCAATATTTACTTAACCAGGCCGGGATGTGGTCGGAAAAAAAAGGTGGGGGGGGGGGAAGACAACAAAAGTAAATAAGGGTTTGAGACAAGAAGGAGAGAAATATGTGTCAGCCGATGTTAATGGCAAAATGTATATCCTGATTTATATAGGACGTACCCAATTTACCATGAAAGATCTTGCGAAAATTATATTGACGGAACGTTTATATATATATATATATATATATATATATATATATATATATATATATAGATATATATATATAGAGAGAGAGAGACGAAAAAAGGTAAATAAATAAAATTACTGTGAGAAAGGGAAAAATCACTAAAAACAGAGTGAGAAAACTGACAAAAGAGAAAGAAAAAATGATATAAAAAAGATTGTAATGAAAATATAAAAGTAGAAAGAGTTAAAAAAGAGAGTGTGTTTATGACAGAGAGAGATAGAGAAATAGAGGTATGAAAAGGAAATGAAGAAAGTGTGAGAAGAGGTAGTAAAAGGAAATAAAGTATCAAATATAATTTTGTTTTAAAGATGATAAGTAGCGCTAATACACACAGTCACCCGTATAAAACGTCCCAAATACTAATCTTAAAGTAATATCTGTATAGATGCATCAGAGCGAGATTTTAACCAGTCAGTAGTTGACACAACCAGTAGTGCCAACTGTTACGGAAAGAGAGAACAAAAATACGCTTTTCTTACGTATAACTCAACAAACGGGAAGGGTTTCTGTTGTTAAATCTGTCAATTAACTAAAAAGAAAATATATATAGGCTTCTTACCTATTTTACTTACGACGAGGAATTCCACAAGAGATAAGGTAAGCCACCCTGAGGCGTTTTGCCTTTTTATTTTTACCTCAATTCCATTTATTTGAAAATAGTCGTGATGCATATATATATATGTATGTGTGTGTGTGTGTGTGTGTGCGTGTGTTTGGATGTTTGGTTGTTACTTAGCCGTAATATTTTTTTATTTATTATATTTCAATTTGTATGTGTTTTTTAAATTTAATTTTTTAATTTAATTTCTGTTTAAATGATGACAAATGTTGCACGTCGATTTAGTTAAGAATAAACGAATGTTGTTCTCGAAAATTGTTTCTCATCACTTAAGAAAACTTCCCCGTTATGACATTGTCAAAATAAAATATTGAACTTGAACATTTCATTTAACTTGATTTTTAACTTATTTGAATATTTGATATATTTGCAATATAACAGAATTAATAAAATCTTTGTGGCTTGATTTTGCGAACAAATATGTTCGAGTGTTTTCCTTATTTCAGAACTTGTAACACTTGTCGCAGGAGAGACATGAATATTCTACAGGCATGCGATATAAATTTTAAGGTCAAGAATATGTACATTACCGAGATTAACCTTTTTTAAAACAACGGTTTACGTGTCATGAAGTTAAAAAAATATATATATATATATATATATATATATATATATATATATATATATATATATATTATGACATTTTTGTAACCCTATGTTCCAGTCATAAATTAATTTAATTTAACTGTTTTTCAAAAGTAATGAAAAAGGCATTAATTTGTTTTTAGTACTTGAAAAATGAAGTTTTTGGAATGAAGTCAAAATGATAGATGAGAAAAAAGCGCAAGTTATTAAAACTTTTTATTTCTTATCTGATATTTTTTAAGAGTAAATATTATAAACATTGTATATAGACAGATTTAAAATATCTCGTCAAAGTGAAATCACTAAGTGAAAGGGACATAAAAAGGCCGCATTTTTAACATGCCGTCGCTAGATGAAATTAACACATCTTTAGGCAAAATCTGAAAAATACTTCAAATTTATTGACTGTGAAGAGACTTGAAAATCGGCTATATTGATCATACATAGAGAGAAAGCGAGGTACTCTTTACTGAGTTTTTTAAAACTTTTTTTAGAACTTGGCACACATGTCGCAGGAGGCACATGAATATTCCATAAGCCAGCGATATAAATTTTCTGGGCAAGAGTGGCATACAGCATGCACGTTACCGGGCTCACCCTTTAAAATAAGGGTTTATATGGCATGGAGTTAAAATAATTGCCATCATATATATATATATATATATATATATATATATATATATATATATATATATATATATATACAAGTAAAATTCCGTTGGAAAATTATTCAAGTGAATCGTAATAATATAAAATATTAAAACCGATAAAATTTATAAACACTTCTTCATTATTCTTTGAACAAAACTTCATCGAATTATGTTACACGAAATCAATTATTTTACAAAAAGGAATAACCCCAATATATAATATTTAGCTCTACTCTGTATTGAGCCCTTTTTTAAATTAAATGTTACGGACAGGTAATTATATTCGATTTGTTCTCATTTTATCTGGATTTAGAAACTTTGTGTGTGTGAAAATCATATGTATTTTTATGTTTTTTGTTATAACAGTGTGAACAAGACTAAAACAGGTTTCAATTTAACATGAAACTTTGCTATTTTTGTTATATCTCATGTGCTTTTGCCATTGTGTCTAAATGTCAAACAATTAAGTGCCATCACGTGATACACGATCATGTCTCTTTCGACTCATAAGTCACTAGGCAGAAGCTTTTCCGCAGTATGTTACCGTTTCTTTTTATGGTAGACTTGTTGCCAACCAAGGCTAAAGGACCCAGTCTGTCCTGCTATTCAACCCATAACTGCGGAGAGGAGAAGGAATGAATTCATACATTTCTCAGGGGGATTTACGCGTAAATGAATGCATTGAATCCAAATGGAATTCGAACCCGACTCCATCGATTTTTCATTCCGACTCGTTATCCACTAAATTCGTAAATATCATCTTTGTCGGATGTGCGTTGTGTGGTGTGCCTGATACTTCAGCCTAATATCTTTGAAGTCACTATTTCAAAAGTCGGTTGGAAAAGTCTCGTGGCTAATAGAAATTATTGGATTTTATACTTGACAGCGTATCTTTCCTGGTGGGCGGATACTTAGCTTCATTGAATTTCTACTACAGCGGCCATCTGCTGTTATAGATTTAACCAAATTAATAATTATTAGAGCGTTTATATTTTGAAAAAAAAAAAAAAAATGAAATAATTTACTTTTTGATTGTTCAAGATTGAATTGAACGTAAAATTTATCTGCGTCGATGACAAGGAGCTCCAATTTCATACGCGTCCTGTAATGTTGATTATTTTCAAGTACTAACTTCATTGATTGTTAACATTTTCAACAGGTCTTCTCAGCCGTAGGACATTACGAAAACCGCCTTTGACACGTTTTATCATTTATAGTATTTTCCCTATAAGCTGCAAATGTAATGATTCCGTATTTTTAACCTTTTTTTTAAAATAGAAACTACGTATTGAAAATTCTGCTTATTTTCTTTCATTTGCAACATTAGAATTAATATAAAAACAATGACCCAATTTTGTTAGTATTTTTAAAATGTAAGAGGATGTGACCTGCGAAAGCAATACAATACAAGATTTGTTCTTGAATGGAGTCAAAAATAAAAACGCCGAATGACATCGAACAGCTGGAACTTTGTGGGTAACCAAATATACTTTTATTTCTTTTTTTCTTTTGAAATTCAAAGAAGACATAATCAGTTAAACTTTTTTTTTCAGATAAATATTGAAAAAATAAAAAAATACCGGCACAGACATACACACGCACAAAGAACACATTAAACGTGAGATTAAATAAATTATTAGAATTTAATTTGAGAACCACTACTACAATGTTTTACAAGTTCACGTTCTGGCATCTTTTCTGATCTTTGCCCCGACTTTCACCTCTGCTTTCAAAACCGGCTCCTCAAAGCCTTGATCCTTATCCGATATAGGAATATATTCTCTGACGAATGAGTGGGCAGGGAAAGTGTATAAGCAATTTGGGAGGAAAAAGTTTCCGATGTTTCTGACCCTTCTAATCTCGATAAATACCGAGAACATGCGCTTCTTTGGCATCTTTGATAACATCAGGTCGGCGATAGCAACACCAAACATTTTCGGAACCTGCGTCAAGGAAGAAATCTACATGCCGGGCTCTAAAGACAGAATGTCGCCCCCTCCCCTAAAACTACTCAAGATCTGCTTCATAGGACCTTGAAATTCCTGTCTACGAAATCACTGAACTACAAACAACGGCTATTCCGATTGTTTCCCCACCCACCTCAACAAAAACTTTGAAGAAATCTTATGTGAGTGTTTAACCCCTTAAGAACAATTTACTTGCTTAAAGAACTTTTAGGCGTTCAGAGAAATATTTTGAGCAAGTCTTTATATGAACATTTTTGCTTCCTTTTAAGTTAAAGGAATTTTCTTCCTTTCTTTCATATTTTGTATATATCCCTTTATCTTTTTGTGCATGTCCATAAATATTTCCTTCTTCCATTGTTACAATCCGAGCAGGATTTGAATCATTATTCTTCCGCCAAAAAGAGAGAATTGCCCGCTGGAAACTTCTATCGATTCTGTCATCCTTTCATGTGGGAAAGCCAAGACAAATTTCCCACAAAATGCAACATTTTAATAGTCATAAGTTACCACAACTTAGATATATCACTGTCATTATTATTAAGTTTTGAATTCATCTTTATATTTTATTTTCAATGCTGAAGCTATATTCTTATTTATTTTATGGCCGCACACAATACACGGGAATTATTTATTAATTAATACCTTGATTAATTGGGCTACGGTTAAAATAATAGAGCACTGCAATTAGTAATTCTAAAAATTGCTTAAGTGAATAAAATAGAGTCTCCCTTTTCAAATACATTCTCTGTTGCATAAAAGTCAAGACACTAGCATGTGGCTTTTCACCCTAAAATTAAATCTAAAATATCTCAAATGACAGTTGTTATCAAGGTTTACATGGATTTATTTCAGAATAATATTTTTGTGGGTTACCATTTATTTTTCTAACGCATTTTCATTGTTCATCTGAACACTGCTCTTCATTGTTTACATTAGGTTATGTCAATGTACAAGAGTCATTTTGAGAAATTAGCAGGAGTTTAATTGAAACATGTTGTGGCACGTGTTGCATATTTTCGTGCGGCACAAACGAAGCAGAGCACAATGAAGCGAATACATGAGAGATAATCTGCAGTTGGTAACGGTACTCTGATAAATAATAACCTCAATGTCATTAAAGAAAAAAGAAAAGAGTGAAAATTTGCTCTTCGAATAATTAGAATTTATTTTAGCATCGCATATCTTCAAGGACAGAAGGACAAATATTGAATAGACGTTATTTTCTTGCTTTGATTGTTTTTTTTTCTCTCTTTTATGTTGTGACAGCGGAGAACTAGATGAAATTAGCATACCCCTAGACAATATCTGAAAAACACTTAAAATTTATTGATCGTGAACAGACTTTAAGACTGGCTATACTTGATCATGCAGTGAGAGAAAGCGAGATACAACTTACTCAATTTTTTTAATTTTATTATAGAAGTTGTCGCAGGAGGCACATGAATATTCCACAGGCCTGTGATATAATTGTCAAGGTCAAGAGTGGCATACACCATCCACCCTTAAAACAAAGGGTTTACGTGCCATGGAGTTAAGATAATTTCCGACATATACGTGTGCATATGTCGGAAAGGTTATGAAATTTTTGTAACCCGATGTTCCTGTGACATAAATCGATGAACTTTTGTTCAAAAGTAATGAAAAGAGCATTCATTTTTTTTTAATATTTGAGAAATGGAGTCAATGGAATGAATTTTTGAAATGAAGTAAACACGATAAATGAGAAAAAAGCGCAAGAACTTTATATTTTTTATCTGACATTTTTTAAGAGTCAAT